AGGACTTGATTTTTCAAAAAAGTTGTCAACTAAAAAATCAAAGCTCTTGTTTTGTTTAGTATCCTCTGAAAATTTCAGAAAAAATGAATAATTTTGAGCTAGGTTTCCAAAATTTCAAAGTAAGCCGTTTTTTGACTGAAAAATGAATTTTTGGAGTTTTTTTTTTCAATTTTCAGATAAATAATTTTTTCTCAAATTTCAGGTTTACAGCGTTTCAGCTAAAATCGGCTGAAATTCTAAATTTTGAACTCAAAAAAAAAATCAAAATTTCAATTTTTAGAAAAATTCAAAAAACAAACTTTTCAAAATCTGAAATTTTCGAAAATCAATTTTTTTAAAAATCTATATTTTTCTGGCCAGTTGGATATATGTATGTATGAAAAATTGTTTATGAAATGAGATAGAGAATGGCATTTTCGTACTCTCTTGAGAGAGTGAGAGACGCAGAGAAAAACAAAAAAAGAACATTCAAAAAAACGGAGGGTAGTGGTAGAGAAAACTGGATAGATAGTGGCGAGGAACAAAAAAAAGAAAAAGAAATAGTGTGGAAAAGTGAGAGAGTGGTTAGAGAAAACATAGAGATGGAAGAGATAGGGGGGGGGGGGTAAGAACAAATGGCGCGAAAAAAAAAGAATTTGGATGAATTTTACAACTAAAGAAAAAAAAATAAAATCCACAGTTAAAAATTGGTTCTGAAACTTTAAAAAGTTGAAAAAAATCGCTTCAAAAATTCAAACAAGAAGGTTAAGACTAAGAGGTAAAGGGGAGAGGGGGCGTGTCTCTTTAAGCCCAATTATCTCAGTTACTGGAAAAGATAGCAAAAAGTGATTCACTAATAAAACATTCCTTTCAAAGTGCTCAACATTTTGTTAATTGACCACTTTTTGATATCTGTCACGAAAACCGAGATAATTAAGGCCAAAGCAATAGAACCTTGGCGGTGCGAGGGAGGTAAAGGGGGGGGGGCGTGATTGAACCAATTCTATTAAGCCTAATTATCTCAATTCCTGTAAGAGATAAGAGAAATTGGTCAATTAACAAAATGTTTCACATGAAAAAAGCAATATTGTATTAGTTAAAATTTTCTTGCTATCTTTCCCAGGAACCGAGATATATAAGGTCAAAGTTAACGGACCTTCCGAGAGGAGAGAGGCAAGAGGGAGGTAACCCCTTTAAGCCTAATTGTCTCAATTCCTGTAAAAGGTATTACAAATTGATTCACTAACAAAATGTTCCTTACATGATGAGGAACATTTTTTAGTTAACCACTTTTTGATATCTTTTTCAGAAAAAGAGATATATAAGCTCAAAGTTGAAAGTTAGTGATTCTCGCAAAACTATCAGGAACCTTCATTAAATTTAAATCATTGGAACCTCAAACAGCTCATCGGGAATCTCTTCATCGTCCACGTCTTCATCATCTTCTTCTTCTATAAAAAACACCATGTCCATCTCATCCTCCTCTTCAAACTCTGGCAATTCAAGTTCCTCTTCCTCATCCTCCCAATAATCCATCTCCATCTGCCGATTCAGAAGAATCTCCTGATCTTCAAAAATGTCTTCCAAATCGAAATTCTCATTATCCAAATGATGGTCAAGACCCTGGTGATGGAGCTCGAGGAACAGTTCTCGCTCCATTTCAAATTGAGGAATAGGTGGCCAACGTAGAAAATCGAAGGGGTCATGGAGAGGTTCCAGGTCTTCGATATGACTGGAAATTTGTTTTTTCGGGGTTTAAATTGCTCAGTTGCTCAGTTTTATTTGAATTTTTCCATTTGCTAAACTAGTTTGGTAATGAAGCTCTCAGCTCAAATAATTGACAACTTTTGCTCAATTTTGTTTTCACAAGCTACGAGAGACCGGGTTTCAGTTAACAAGTTCAGTTTGATAAATGACCCTATCCCTTTAATCCTAATTATCTCAGTTCCTGGAAAAGTTATCGAAAAATGGTCAACAGCCAAACTGTTCCTCATAATATAAACATCATTTTGTTAGTTAACTACTTTTTGGTATCTTTCACAGAAGCCGAGATAAGTTAGGTCCAAATTATCGGACCTCCCGAGAGGTGAGAGGCAAGGGGGGGGGGGGGGGGGTAATCCCTTTAAGCCTAATTATCTCAATCCCTGTAAATGATATCAAAACGTGGTTCACTAACAAAATGTTCCTCATATTATCAGCAACATTTTCGTAGTTAACCACTTTTTGATATCTTTCCCAGGAACCAAGATAATTAGGGTCAAAGTTATGGGATCTCCCAAGGAGGGAGAGGTAAAAGGGGAAGGGGCATTCTAATTGAGTGGTTACGGTATCGAAATTCAGATTTCATTGGCCTAAAACCCACCGAGGTCTTCTAGCTGCCAAAAACTCGTCTAGAATGTGCTCCAAATATCGGATCAGGTGCAAATTCCCATTCCACGGCAATGGAGGGGGGACTGGCACGTTTTCAGCTGCCTCTTCGGCCATTTTTTGGGTTTTTGGGAATCAGAAGACTCCAAAAAATGTATTCAGAGAATAAATAGAATTAAAAAATGTTTTGGAGTGGGGGGAGGCAGATTAAGAGAATCCGTATTTTATCCAGAGAAAAACAACAAATCGGCGACACCGGAGGAGTGCGGATTAAGGGCCGCACGACGTCTCCATGGAGATTCTGGAGAGATTAGAAGACGGCAAAAAAATGCTAGGTGTGTGTACGTGCCGAGTGGGAGGTGTTGGCTCTGCCATAGAGAAAAACCGAAAAAAGGGAAAAAATGAGCTAGAATTTGCATTGCTATATATGACTGGAAAAAAGGGGAGTCAATAACAATAAAAATATTAATTTTTGACGCAAAAATGGCTGAAAATCAAGGCTGTGCAAAAATCGGCCGCGGCCGAGGCCGTGGGTATTTTGCCGTGGACCAATCCGGCCGTTTTTTTGAAAATAAGCTCAGCTACCCAGGTACTACCTATCTCAGAAGTATCTTTTTTTAAGTGCTGCGGCCGTTCTGGCACAGCCTTGCTGAAAATCCTAAAAATTGGAATTTTAAATATTTGTTTTATTTTAAAATTTCTAAAAAAAGTCAATTTTTGGCTTAAAAATAGCTGAAAACCCCTAAAATTTCAGTTTTTAAATTTTTTTTTGTTAAAATTAAAAAAAAAATCATTTTTGACTTGAAAATGGCTGAAAATCATAAAATTTCATACTTCAAAATTTAATATTTTCCAAAATTTCGAAATTTTGAATTTCAGAAATTTCAAAAATTTTAAATATCTTTAAAAATGGCTTATAAAAGAAAATGAAAAATGGCTGAAAATCCTAAAATTTCAAATTTCTAAAGAAAATAATTTTGGCTTAAAAAACGGAAAAATGACTGTAAATCTTAAAATTTCGAATTCAAAAAATTCCAAATTTCGAAATTCCAAAATTTCTGTAGTACCCATTTATTGTGATACAATTGAACAGAGTCAGAATAGAAGGTATAACCAGAAGAGGTAGCGAAAAAATGCATTGAGAAAACCGGGACAAAAAAAGGGGGCGGAGCTTAAGGAGGAGAAGGGGGCGTGGCCTATATTGGGGTAGGAACAATAAAGTTAGAAAAAATCAATAAAATTTGGGGGAACTTTTAGAACCTAGAAAACATGGAAAAAGAGAGATTTTTTTGAAAAATTGGAAAAAACAGTTAAAAATGAAAAATTCTAACTAGAAGACGTCGGAAGTGTTGACGGCTTCATTGGGAAATTTGTGAATTCTGAAGTGAGCTCCAAAAAGTGTTGAACGCATTCTCGAAGTGCTTTGACGCCCGGCGCGTCGACGAAACTCTCGACGTTCGAAGATTCGACGATTTCACGGAATGCAACGATCTGCAAATTAATGGAAAAATGTTCACACTACAAACTACAACACTTTCTAAGCCTCGGTAAAATTTGAAATTGAAAAAAAAACCGCTGAAAACGAGTGAAAATTCGCCTCGTTACATTGGTTTCAAGTTTTACTGAGGCTTAGCAAGTTTTGTAGTTTGTAGTCACTAAGCCCCAGTAAAAATTTTAAAAGGTTGTAACTAGCCTAGTTTTAGACATTTTTCGTTCATTTATGGCTGAAAATGACTGAAATTCGGCCGGAAACTACAAACTACAAAAATTCCTAAGCCTCAGTAAAATTTAAAATTGAAAAAAGACGAAGAAAAACGTTTTTTTAATGAAAAGCGTTTTACTGAGGCTTAGGGAAATTTTGTCGTTTGTAGTCTCTAAGCCTCAGTAGAATTAAAAACCATAAATCTCTCCTCCTTCTCAACCATTTTCGTCCGTTTTTGGCTCCATTTTTCCTATTTTTGAAGACTACAAACTACAAAAATCTCCTAAGCCTCAGTAATTTTTTATTGAAAAAAGGAACGGGAAAAAAGCTTTTTAACGGGTGAAATTATTTTACTGAGGCTTAGCAAATTTTGTAGTTTGTAGTCTAAGCCTCAGTAAAATTCGAAAATCGCTGTAACTCGACTAGTTTTCAACTATTTTCGTCCGCTTTTTGGCTGAAAATCACTACTTTTTCGGAGACTACATACAAACATCTCCTAGACCTCAGTAAACCTCAAAATCGCTCATTTTCAACGATTTTAGGCTCAAAATTCGTGAAAAAACCCGTTTTTCGGAATTTCTACCTGCGGTGAAATCATTGTCAACGCCTTCAGAATCTCTCCAGAATGTGTCGACGTCGGATTGTCGATCATCACGAGGAGCATAATTTTCTGCCAGTAAATTCCTTTATTCAAGGCCGAAGCTTCCTGATTGCTCATCTTAGCAGCTACAGTAGGCACAGAGAACACGGTGCGATCTGGAAAAAAAGTAATTTTTCGCGATTTTCTCTGTTTTTCGACTCTTAGGCCAAAATGTGTAGTTTGTAGTCTTTAAAAACCCACGTTTCAGCTCCTGATCCTTCTCCTTGGGCTCCAAAAACTGCTTCTTAATAAGTTCCATATTCTGCTGCAACAGCCCAAAAGTCACTTCTAGAATCGTCGAATCCGCACACTTTGCCATGTACAACGACGTCTTCTGAATCGCCACGTCGTCAGAATTTTCCAGGAATCTTTGATGTGTCACGTGGCACGCCGTCTGAATCTCATCTCTCGTTAGTTGTGGGACGTAGGCCATCTGGAACTTGGAATTCAGAAGCCAATTGATCACCGACGCCTGATCCGTCTCCTTGAACATCAGAATTCGAAGTGCCACGTGGATTTCAGAAGGCGTCGTTGCTGGCGATTTTTCCAACTCATCAACCAGGAATCCACAGTATTTGGAGGCGTCGGAAATGAGACAGTACGCTAGCGATTTGGCGAGTTGATGGGGATTTTTATGAAGGAGAATCAGGAAAAGGGACTTCATCCACGTGGATTTCTTCTCTTGGAGAAGAGTCTCCACGCCATCTGAAGACGTGACGTCGTCTGCTTCTGAAGGAATGTGCTCGGCGAATTTGATGGCGTTGCAGAATAGACGAATCAGGCGGCCACACTGTTTCGAGTCGATTGCATCGCGGAGAGAAATCTCGTAGAGGATGCGGCTGGAAAATTTGAAGGTTGTAGTTTGTAGTTTGTAGTTTGTAGTCAGTTAAAAACAATTGAAACTTACTATTAGGCAGGATAAAAGAATTTTTTGATTTTACTGAGGCTTACAGGAAAATGTAGTTTGTAACCACTTAGCTTCAGTAAAGAGTTGAAGAGGTTTACTGAGGCTAACACACTACAAACTACAAAAATTCCTACGTCTTAGTAAAAACTGTAAACTCGTTTCTATCGGATTTCAGTGACTTTAATTTCTTTTTTTGACTAAATTTCAGTGATTTAAGCTTATTTTTTCAGAATTTTCCACAATTTTCTCGGGACTACAAGCTACAAAGAATCGTAAGCCTCAGTAAAAACTTCAAACTGGCTTATTTTCATCGGATTTTAGTGATTTCAAGCTCATTTTTTCAGCTATTTTCGAGCGATTCTCAAAGACTACATACTACAAAAATTCCCAATCCTCACTCAGTAAAAACTTCCAAAATTTTTTTCGAGACTACGAAAACTACGAAAATTCCTCTGAAGGATCGTAGAAATACAAGGAAAATTTTCTCAAAATTGGAGATTTTATAGTTTGTAGTCTTAAAATTGCTCTATTTTGGCTCAGAATTATCGTAAAAACCTCGAAAAAATCATTTTTTGTAGTTTGTAGTCTTTGTAGTCTTACCCAATGAACAAATGCAACAGCATCTGATGATCGTCGTTGAGTCCGGCGCTGACTTGCAGAAAATTCTCCTCTTCTGTATTCATCAACGGCGTCAGATTCGCATCGGCCTTCTGTCTCATCAGAACAGCCCACATGTCGGCTGGAGACGATTCTCGAAGGAATTCCATCATCACGTCTACAGCATCTGAAGGCGTCAGTGGTAGCGAATCGCCAATGACGATGCCCTTGTCCTCGAGAGACGTTTCAGCTCGTTTGGACCAACTTTCAGGTCCAGGGCTTGACGGAAATGCGATTTTATCTGCAAAATTTGATTTTATGATGAGCAATGACTACAAACTACAAAAAATTTTAGGAATATTAAGCCAAAAATGACTAAAAACGAGTGGAAGTTCATTTTTACTGAGGCTCAGACTATTTTTGTAGTTTGTAGTAAAGCCTGTGGCTTTACTGAGGCTTAGAAGCTACAAACTACGAAATATTTCTACGCATCAGTAAAATTCAAAATCGCTGTAAATCGGCACAGACGCAGAAGCTAATTTTCCTGAGCCTTGGACTACAAACTACAAAAGTCCCTAAGCCTCAGTAAAAACTTCAAACTCACTCATTTTCAATCAATTTTAGCGATTTTCAGCTCATTTTTTCAGAGTTTTTAAAGAGACTACAAAGTACTAAAATTCCTAAGCCTCAGTAAAATTTCCAATTGGCTTATTTTTCCTTGATTTTCGTGACTTTTAGCTCATTTATGATGCAATTTTCAGAAATTTCCCAAGACTACAAACCACAGCAATCCCTAAGCCTCAGTAAAATTAAAAATAGCATGTTTCCAACCAATTTCAGTGAATTTCAGCTCATTTTTCTAGCAATTTTCAGAAAATTTCCCAAGACTACAAACTACAAAAATCCCTAAGCCTCAGTAAAAACTTCAAAATGGCTCGTTTTCTTCGGATTTTCGTGATTTTTAGCTCATTTTTAGGCAAATTTTTTTGCTAATTCTCAGAGACTACAAACTACAAACCTTATCCACTCTCTTTCCTCCCCGCTCCTTGCTCTTTTCCTGTGCTTCTTTCAGTCCCATTGGCTTCTGCTCTTGTCTTATCGCTTTTCCGTGCGGTCTCGTCGGTACATCAATCATAATCGCTCTCGTTGGTCCTGGTTTTTTAGAATTCGTCGTTAATGATGACGTGGCAACCGATTCTGGAGCAGCATCAGAAGACGTCAGCGGCTCTTCAGGTGCTCTCGAACGGCTCTTTGATCTGCCACGTCGTAGTAGAGGAATCGGATCGATCACCTGGATTCCTGCCGTCTTTTTAGTGTATTTTCGTTTTGGAGCAGCAGCACCGACGTCTTCTGAAACGCCTTCTGAAGACGACGTCGTCGTTGTGGGCGTGGCTTTTCGTTTCAGTGGTTTTGGAGGGAGCGGGACGGCTTTAGGGACCGTCTGATGAGCGCCAGATAGGATATCGTCTAGGAAATTGTCAGAATTTGCTGGTTTCAAAGTGAGCGGAGCCTGATTTGTGGTGGGCGGAGTCAAACGAGCCGAGACACGTGGCATTGGTATTTCTTCTGGTTTCAGCGATTTTTGTAAAATGGGCGGAGCCAGATCGGTGGGCGGAGCTGCTCCTCGACGTTTGTAGACACGTGGCTTCTTCTCTTCTCCGACGTCTCCTGAATTCAACTTTTTGACAGAAGCTGGAATTTGTGTTTTTGACGTCTTCTGCGATTCAGAAGGATCTTCCTTAGATTGCTCATCTTCTTGTTGGATTACTGTAGAAGTGGGCGGAGCTTGTGGTGCCTTTTTTGCTTCGGATTGCTCAGCCAAGGGGGCGGAGCTTGTAGTATGCGGAGCTTCTGATTCCACGTGGCGTTTTGATGGCTTTCTGGGAGTCAATTTGGCTACTGTAGAAGTGGGCGGAGCTTCAGATTGCTCAGCCTTATTTTGTGACAAGGAGGCGGAACTTGAAGTGGGCGGAGCTTGGGTAGCCTTCTGGGCTCCAGATGGCTCCACTTGGGTTACTGTAGAAGTGTGCGGCGCCTGTAGGGTCTTCTTGGCTTCGGATTGCTCAGCATAAGATTGCGTATCCTTTGAAACTTCTGGCTTTGTTGGGACATCACTAGATTGCTCACTTTCTTGGATTACTGTAGAAGTGGGCGGGGCTTGAGTCTTCTGGGCTTCAGACGACGCCAATTTCGTCGGATTTTCCAGCTTTTTGGTTACTGTAGAAGTGGGCGGAGCCTGTTTTCTCGAGCGACCCACTGGCACCTTCTTTGGAGCCGCTTTTTGATGTGCTCCAGCCAAAATATCTTCAAGCAGCTCGTCGTGTGCATTTAGGCTGCTCTCGAAAATGGACGGAGTCAATTTCCGGGTGAATTCTGGAGCTGCTGATGACGTTGCTTGTGGGAATTTAGAAGATGACGTAGATGGAGCCACTTTTGGAGGTTCTGTATACTTTGAAGCTAACGAAGTCAGTGGTTTGACTTCTGGAATTTTAGAAGACGTTGGTCCAGATGACGTCGGTCCAGATGACGTAAGAATCTTCAAATCCTCTTCTTCCTCTTCAGAATCACTAAGATCCAGGCCGAATTTGGAAGCTTGAATCTGTTTTGGACTTTTCGCAGCCACTGACGTCTTCTTAACGTCTTCTGAATTCTCCTTGGGCGATGTAACAATGGATAAACCATCGTCAGAAGACTCAGAATCGTTCGAGGCGTGGATTCTGGAGCTTTGACGGCTTCTTTTTGAGATTCTGAGTTCTTGACGCCTTCTGAATCCTTCGATTCTTCAATGGGCTCTTCTGGAGCATCCACGTAGATGCTAGAAACATCAATAGCCTCATCAACCTTCTCTAGAACGTCTTCTGAAGATTCTGGAGCCGTCAAAGTCTTCTGAATCGCCGATGTCGATATTGAAGACGTCGCGTCCGCACCAGCTGAAGCTCTGAAGAAAGGGACGTCGTCAAATTCAGAATCTATCACGATGGATTCGTTAGAACTGGAGCTGATGTCTCCGAATGTTGTGGATGACGTGGTGGGGATGACGTCTTCTGAAGCCTTCTCCATGGCAACGACGTTTTCTGGGTCCTTCGTGATGCCTTCTGGATCCTTTTCCTCGGAAATGACGTCTTCTGAAGTCGTCGTCTTGGCCATTTTGACTTCTGGGCCCTTCGTGACGTCTTCAGAATCCTTCTTCTTGGTAACGACGCCTCCTGAATTCTTCTTCGTCACCAGTGGAGCCTTAATCCTCTCCATTTGACGACTTCTTGTCGGTTGTCCAGCGGTTAGTGGAGCTGGAGCTGCACGCTTCTTAGATGACGTGGATCCCAGAAGACGTCGCTTCAGAACGTCACCCGTCTTTTCGTCTTCTGGATTCTGATTCTTCGTGACGTCTTCTGGCGCTTTCTCGACTTTTCGGGCGGCAATCTTGACTGATGACAGTTGAATCTCTTGCTCTTCCTCCTCTTCTTTTTCTTCTTCCTTCTTATCTTTTGCCACGTCACCACATCTGACGGCTACAGACTTCGTGCGACGTCTTCCGCCCTTATCCTCCTCATCCCAATTCTCACGGTAGACGGAACGAGCGCGAGCTCGTTCGCTACGTGATGTCGATGAGACCGATGGGCTTGGTGATGGGCGGCGCTGAAAAAGAACAACGATATTTTTGGGAGAAACTACATACAGACTACAAACTACACATTTTTTCTTCTTTAAAAAATATATTAAAAACAACAAAAACGAAGCGATTTACAGAGATTTTGAAATTTTACTGAGGCTTAGAAAAAGGTTGTAGTTTGTAGTTTAAGCCTCAGTAAAAGCTTAAAAAAGTCTACTTTGGCTTAGAGAATACAAATTACAAAATTTCCTAAGCCTCAGTAAAGTTTAATTTGGGAATAAAAAACGATGAAAAATGCTTTGGTTTCGAGTGAAATCGCTTTTACGAGGCTTGGAAAATCTTGTAGTTTGTAGTCTCTAAGCCTCAGTAAAAACGTCGAACACGCTCATTTTGATTGTATTTTAGTGATTTTTAGCTCATTTTTTTCTCAGAAGTTCCTAGAAATTTTCTAAGACTACAAACTAAAAAATTCGTAAGCCTCAGTAAAAACACGCTCATTTCCACTGAATTCAGCGATTTAAGCTCAACATTCGTAAGGGAAATTTTGTAGTTTGTAGTCGCTAAGCCTCAGTAAATTCTTAACAGGTGGCTCTGGTGCGACCGGCAGTTTTACTGAGGCTAAGACTACAAACTACGAAAAGCTCTAAGCCTCAGTAAAATTCCAAATTGGCTCGTTTTCAATCAATTTTAGCGATTTTTAAGTCATTTTTTTTCAGAGGTTTCCAGAAATTCTCAGAGACTACAAACTACGAAAATCTGTAAGCCTCAGTAAAAATTTAAAACTCTGAATCACGCCCATTTTCAACCGTTTTTGTCCGGTAATGTCCGTTTCTGGCTTAAAATGGCTGCAATTTCTTGGAGACTACAAACTACAAAAATGGTTTTCAGCTTAAAATTCGTAAATTTTAATTTTTTCTTACCGAACTTGCTCTCGACGTCGCTCTAGACTCCGATCTTCTCGGTCGCCCACGACGTTTCGGTGTCGGCGGGGGTTCAGAAGTCGTTGGCTCTTCTGACGGCACGACGGCTTCAGAAGCCTCCGACAGTGTCCGACTAAGTCTGGTGGATCTTCGTGGAGCCTCCGATCTCTCAGAATCGTCTGCTTTTGAGTGTACCGAAACGCTACGGCTTCTCGGACGTCCACGTCTTCTGGGAGCAACGTCTTCTGAAGTTTCTTCTGGCACATCTTTCGACGTCTTCTGAGGTTTTTTCTTCGCTTCCGCACGCATTCTAGCCACTTTCTCCTTGACCGTCTCCTTCCTCATCATCTCCTCCTGTTGTTCTCGCACCGTTTTACCCTTCTTTCCATGGATTGTGGCTCCAGAAGCGGCTCCAGAAGCTGTGGCTGAAGACGTGGCACCTTCAGAATCCGTTTTTCTTGCTTCAGTAGCTGCTTTTTCCACAGCATCAAAGTCAAACGTGGCAACTCGTCTAGAATGAACAGTTCTTGTTGATATGATACCTCCGTAATCAGTAGCAGACGGCTTCTTAATGCCTTCTGGCCACCTCTTCAAATTTTTCACATCCACGACACGTGGCGCTCTCGGTTTTGACGACTTCTTGACTTCCGCGGTGAATTCTGGACACTCTGAAGGCTTCGCTGACGTCGTCAGAAGACTCTCTAGCTTCTGAACATCCACGTCAACTTCGTCGTCGTCGTCTGAAAGTCTGGAGCCCAGAAGTAGTGAATCGTCTTGTGGTGGACGATCCACTTCCATATCGTCATCTGAATCCTCCATTTGCGGAGGTGGAGCTGATGACGTGGACGCTCCAGATGCATCTTTGAATGGGTCGGAATTGAAGAATAGGCGAACGTCGTCGCGTCGGAATACTTGGATGAGGTCTTTGATCGGTTTTGGTTGTTGGGCGATATTCGTGGATTGAGCTGGAAAATCATGGGAATGATTTTGATTGGTTACTGAGGCTTACAGACTACAAACTACAAAATATCCTTTTCAAAAAAAAAAACGAATAAAAACCACCGAAAATGAAGTATTTTGATTTTGATTTTGCTGAAGCTTAGAAAAAAGTTTGTAGTCTATAATAATTTTTGAAGCTAAAATTTTTTTACTGAGGCTTATAGACTACAAACTACAAAACACACTTTTCGAAAAAAAACCTTGCAAGATAACAAAAATTAAGTGGGAGTAGAGGGATTTCAAATGTCACTGAGGCTTAGAGACAACATGTAGTTTGTAGTCTATAATCGCTTTTAAGAGATTACTGAGGCTTAGATACTACAAACTACAAAACGTATTTTTAGTGAAAAAAAGGGTGAAAACGATTAGAAACGAGTGAAAATGAGGGATGTTGAATTGCACTGAGGCTTTAAAAAATTGTAGTTTGTAGTCTCTTAGCATCAGTAAAAGCCTGAAAGGTTTACTGAGGATAAGACTACAAACTACGAAACTTCTCTAAGCCTCAGTAAATCCTCGACTCCCGGGCGACGGCAAGTTTTACTGAGGCTTAGAGACTACAAACTACGAAAATTCGTAAGCCTCAGTAAAAACTTTAAACTCATTTTTATCGGATTTTTGTGATTTTCAGCTCTTTTTTTTCCAGAATTTTCGGAGACTACAAACTACAAAATTTTCTAAGCCTCAGTAAAATTTTGCCATGCGTTCAAATCGACTTTTTCCGGCTTGTTTTTAGCCAGATCTTCATTTTCGACCGTTTTCAATGATTTTTGGCTCGAAATTCCTGGAATTTTCGATATTTTCTCTTGAAAACAGACACTTACACAACGAATCAATGACTTTAATCGCGGATTTCAGATATTTATCCAGTTTTTTCGTCTTCTGCGCGGCATCGCTTTTCGACGTCTTCAACTCGGATATCTGATTCTGATAGGATACGGTCTTTTTCGTGACGAGACCCAAAGTTTTGACGGTTGCCTCGAATCTCGACTTGATATCGATATTATTCTCTTCCAGTTTCTCGGCCAGCGAGCACATTGTATCGTATTTGTCACGCCAGTGATTCGCTTGCTCTCGATGCTTCTGGAAATGGGGTTTTTTGTAGTTTGTAGTGTGAAAAATCCGAAATTTTGGACTTGATAGTGAAATAAAGTTTTATTAATGCGTTCTTCGCTGAATTATGAGTATTTTAAGCTCAAAAATCCATATTTTCAGCCCAAAATTTTTGAAAAACAAGATTTTTTGAAATTTTCAGCAATTTAGAGCTATTTTAAAGGTATTTCAACCCAAAAAATCCATATTTACAGGTTACTTTTCATCATTTTCCACTCCGAAAAGCCTAAAATCTTACATCCGCATCGTCTGCCTTCTCCTGAAGCATTCCACACTTTTTTCTCAAGTATTCCCAATCCGTTTGGATCTGTTTCAGGCTAGCCTGTGCAATTTCTTTGGCATTGGTTGCTTCGAACGCTTTTTGTTCGCATTGTTGAAACATCGCGTCCACTGAGGCCAGCTTCAATTTTAGAGTTTCAGATTCCTGGAAAAAATTGGATTTCTTTAAATTTTTTGATAGCTTTTAATGGAAAAAGCTTGCAAAAACAGTAATTTTTCAGGTTTTTCCCCTCAAAGCAAGCTGTTTTAGCTGGAAAACCAATTTTTGAGCAAAAAAACCATTTCCAGACTAATTAGCCCCTAATTAATGCTCTAATTACCGCTTGAACTTTCGCATAATTATTCAAATCCTCGGCTCGCTGTCTCGTATCCCTCATTAGCCGCTTCAGGTTGTCCCGAACATTGGCACAGCTCTCCAGCGTGCATCTTGCCTGGAAATATCGATTTTCTAGGTGGAAAAATCAAAAATTAGGGGTTCAACTTACCTCAGAGGCATCTTCATCCATTTTTAGCACCTTTTAACCTGAAAAAAATGCAAAAAATCGAGAAAATATACGAAAAACGGAGGTGGAAGAGAATTGGTGGCCTAGAAAATCACAGAAACTCGGCCACCGATTTTTTGTCTTGTGATGAATAAATAGAGAAAAAGAAAGAATTCATTCAAAAATTGTAAAAAAGCTCGAAAAATGAAAAAATCGAATTTTCAGACAAATTTCAACGATAATTGGCTAAAATATACATTCAAAAATCGCAAAACTACCTGAAAATATTGAAAAAAATCCTTTAAAAACTCAAAAATAGGTTTGAAATCGAAGGAAAAAATGCTGAAAAATGCAAAAAAGAAATTTCGAATATTTCCTACTGTAGTTTTCTTAAAGGCGCATGCCCAAGATCCGAAACTTGAGTCTCACCACGAAATTAAAAATTTGTGGGTTTTAGAGGGAAAATTATTATTTCCAGAGATTTTTTTTGTTTTTTCATGTTAAAAATTGCAAAAAATTCTAATTTTCGTGTTGAAAACTAAAAAAAACACTCGATTTTTCAGAAAAATCGACGAAAAAAAAATTTAAAAACATGTTACTGTAGAATTTTAAAGGCGCATGTTTAAAATTTATCGTTTTAGTTCTACCACGAAATTTATTATTTTTAAAATTTATGATGTTTTTTTTAGTTTTTTAACCTGATTTTCATGCTAAAATCGATGTTTAAAAAGATTTCATTGGTGAAAAAATCTGATAAGTGTTTAAAAAAAATAATTTTTTAAATAAATTCATTCATTCTCAAATTTTCACACATAATATTTAGCTTGTCTGAGAAAAAAAGGTTAGAGAGTATTTTTTGCAGTCTAAATACGGTAGCGATTTCGAAGCGGAGAGCCTAAATATCACATATTAAGTGGAGACGCAGACACTTTTTCTCTGCGTCTCAACCTTTTATTTCTCAGACAAGCATAATACAGGGAAGAGTTCGATGAAAAGAAGACAGTATGAGATGAGAAGATGTGTCACATAGCCGGAAAATACAGAAAAAAAAGTGTTCTATTCCTTCTTTTCCTCCTCTTTTCCCTCTTCCTTAGTTTTCTCCTTCGGCTCCTTCTTTTCTTCACCCTCATCCTTCGAGCAACGCGTCTTTTTCTGAAAAGTTTTAGTTTTTAATTCGTAAAACCAAAAATTTCGCAAAATTTAAAATCTCCTCTTCCTACCGCCCTCCAGCCCCTCCCCCACTCATCTCGCTTCCCGCGCCACACGCCACACTCTCCTATACACCCTCCACCTCTCTATCCAGTGATGCACCTAGTGGCGCCAGTGGGAGTGCGCGCACCCATCACTCTACCAAGCAAGGGGGTTGTTGGTTCGACTCCCTTGGCCGTTACCTTCTCTGGATCGTCTCCCCAATCACTCTCCACGTCGTTCATCGTCTGATACTCCTTCTTATCCACCTTCTTTCCCTGAGCAATCAACTGCTCCTTGGCAGTCAATGGCATCTCACGTGGCCGCAATTCCTCCTTCTTCTTATTCTCCTTCTTCGACTCTTCCTTCTTCGACTGTTGCGGCTTCTCCGACTTTTCCTACTTCTTCGATTCCTCCTTCTTCTTCTCACCTTCTTCCTTCTTTCCTTCATCCTTCTCATCCGAACTCTTCTTTTTTTCAGCATCTCCTCCTTCCTCTTTCTTTTCTTCCTCCTTCTTTTCCTCCTCCTTCTTCTCTTCTTCCTTCTTTTCTGCTGGAGCCTCTTCTTTTTTGTTGTTCTCCTCCTTCTTTCCAGCTGCCACGTCTTCTGGTTTCTTCATCTGAGAAGCCGTCGCGGCGGGTTCTGGAGCACCCATTGTAGTCGTACCGAATCCTGACATTGGAACGTCGGGACGAATTTTGGCTGTTGGTTTCTTCTTCTTCTTTGCGCATACGTGCATTGTGTCTGTAGAAAAGAGGATTACTGTAATTTGCGCATTTCCGGTGCCTTGGCACTTTTCTAGAGCTTAGCACGAGAAATGCGCCAAGGCACTGAAAAGGCGCAAAGGACTGAAAAATAGGCCAAGACACGCCTTTCCGGGTGCCTTGGAACATTTTTAGTGCAAAACCCTAGAAATGCGTCAAGGCACTGGAAAGGCGCAAACGATCTAAAAACAACTTCAGTATTGCGCCTTTCTAATGACGCTTTTCCCAAGACTGGGTTGGCTANGCTATTTTTCGTCGGTTTTCAACCGTTTTTGTGCGGAAATGATTGATTTCTGCCGATTTTCAAGGATTTTCTTCCAGAAACCGATGTCTACATGGAAAAACTGAATGTGCACTGAATAAGCTTCAAATGTGTGCTAAAAAGCATGTCTCTGGTGA